GGTTGGTTGGTTGGTTGGTTAGTGGGTTGGTTGGTTTGTTAGTGGTTGATTGGTTATTGTTTGGTTGGTTGGTGGTTGTCGTGATTGGTTGGTTAGTTGTTGTTTGGTTGATTGATTGATTGGTTGTTGGTTTGGTTTGTTAGTTGGTTGGTTGTTTGAATGGATGGTTGGTTGGTTGGTGGCTAGTTGTTGGTTGGTTGTTTAGTTGTTGGTTGGTTGGTTGCTGGGTTGGTGGGTTGGTTGTTTGAATGGATGGTTGGTTGGTTGGTGCTAATTTGTTGTTTAATTTGGTTGATTTGTTCGTTGGTTGGTTAGTGGTTGTTTAGTTGTTTGTTTGGTTGGTTTGTTGGTTGATTGGTTTTTCTTTGTTTGGTTAGTTGGTTGGTGGTTGTCGTGATTTGTTGGTTAGTTGTTGTTTGGTTGGTTGATTGATTGGTCGTTGGATTGATTTGTTAGTTGTTTGTTTGGTTGATTGATTGGGTGAGGATAAGGTGTACGTTACAAAAAGGGTTCTATACTCACCAGATGAACTAAGGACATGCTATGACCCGTGCCAATCACCGTAGCCAAAGTTGTCACCAATAGAAAAATCTTAATTTTAAAGGCAGAGCAATAAACCAATTCGCCTAAACSACACGATGAAACATTCCGATCACATGTTCGATTTTCTCTAATCTGYTCGATAGTCTCCAATTGAGTCTTCGAGCGCATCAGAAGAGATACTGCGAAAGGAATAAAWGARAATCCAGCCATGGCGAGCATCGACCCTCTCCAGTCCAAAGCTTGGTTTAAATTTTGTACAATAGGRGTCATARCCAAGAGRKAMGACCCGCACCCCACTGATACTAGCGATGTTGCTTCAAATTTATATTTGTCGAAATACACTGGAACAGCAACCATTGTGCTAAAGTAAACAAGGCCCACTGCTGAGCCTAAAACTATTCCAAATGTTACAATTAAAAAACCAATAGTTGGTACAAACGAAGAAGCAACAAGTCCACTTGCAGATACCAGACTTCCCAGCAATAAGATTTTCCGAGATCCAAAATGATCGCATAGTTTTCCTATAACTGGGCCCAGAAGCCCAATGTTGGCTACAGCTATTGAACCAGGAGCAGCTGGAATAGAATGAGAAAAAAGAATGGTTTTGGAAAATWTTGAGAAAAAATTATCTGAGACATGCGCAGGAATTGTTCTAGTGATTCCAAAGACATCCTTTTTTTCGGAAATCTCGGCCACGGCTGAAAATTGATTTTACGGGGACTTGATGAGAAAGTCACTACTGTGCACGCTGGGAAGGGTCATGTTCGTTTTTGGTGCAAAATCATAAAAGTTAAAAACTATTGAAAAGATAGAGTACATTGTCAAACACTAAAACTGTGCAACATAAATACCACTAAATACTGCTAAATTATGCTAATTCTATT